TGTAATTACATCGGAACGTAATAGACTTGAAAGTAATACAATTCGTATGATAATATGTCTTAAAGGTTGGCTAAAGTCTGATATGTTTTAATTTTTTTTTTTATAGATAAGTTTTTTGTATAATTTGAGAAATAATAATGGTTAATAATAATAAAAAGAGTATTAGGATAATAGTGCTTTTTCTTTTTGAAAAAAAATATAAAGTTCAATTTGTATAAATGTTATTAAATATAAAAATATAAATATAAAAAATTTAACTAAAAAAATTTTTATAATGTGAATTTAATTAATTTTTTTGAATTGAATGACCAATTGGTTTGGTTATAGGCGACAATATGCCTTTGATGAAGGCTAGGTAGCATTTACTTTATTTTCTACTTTATGTATCCATTTTGTGATTTTCTTTAATTTATATTTAAATGCTTCACCACGTCTTAAAAATATATATATATATTTAATCATTTTGATTCAGTTTGGTTGATTTGATTTGATTTGATATGATTTGATTTTGCGGAATCCTAATACTATAATGTTTATATTAAATTATAATGTTATCATTAGACTATATATTATTACTATTATAACCTAATTCAAGTTATTAGTGATTTTTAGATATATTATATCTAAGAATTACTAACGACTATAAGTATTAAAAATCATTTAAAAATCACTTCCTAAAAGTTTACGTTAGTTTTAAAAAAAGAATTACCTTAAAAAATAAGAATAAAGAATAAAGAAAAAAAATTTTAAAAATTATTAAGTTATTTTTTAAAAAAAAAAGGTAAAAAATTTGCTTTTGAATTATTATAAGAACTTTTTTAAAAAATAAGAAAAAGATTAAAGTAAAAAATCTACCCAAAAATCATTACATCAATAAAAAAAATGTTTTAATATAATCTAAAAATTTATCAGTTTTTATATTGTAATAAAACTAAAATTTTAATTAATCTGAAATTTATTTATTATAATTATTCCAAACTAATAATTTTGCATTGTTTGATTAAAATAATTATATATTATTTATTAAGAATTATATAAAAAATTATTCTAAAGAAACAATTATGTATTGTTTTAATAAAATAATAAAAAATTATTCTTTAAAATTATTTTGAAAGAATAATAAAAAAATATTCTTTTAGAATAATAATATATTATTTCAAAAAAATAAATAAATAAATAATTGTTCTTTTAAAATGATAAAAAAATAATTATTTTTCAGAATAATAATGTATTATTCATAAAGAATAATAAAAAAATCATTTATTTAGAATGATAATATATTGTTCTTAAAGAACAGTAAAAAAAAATATTTTTTTTAGAATAATAATGTATTGTTTTAAAAAATTAATAAAAAAAATTATTTTTTCAAAATGTTAATATATTGTTCTTAAAGGGTAATAAATAAATTATTTTTTTAAAATGATTATATATTGTTTCTTTTGAAATAATTATATCATTTTTTTAGAATAATTTCTATTGTCTTTTTAGAATAATTGTATTATTCTTTCATAATAATTTCTATTATTTCTTTGGGATAATTACTCTTATTTAATTAGAATATTAATTTTCACAAAAATCAACTAATTTTGATTAGTGAGATACAGTCAAATTATTATTATTTTTATGTCAAATTTAAGTCTAATTAAAAGTTTATCAAATATTATAACTGAAAGGTCTTAATATTGAAATAATACATAATTATATGTAGTATAATAATTGACTATTAATTTTTGTAATTTTTGCTAAATCACATATCTGAATTAGTTAAATGTTTGCTGAAAAATCTCAATGTCAAAATGATACTAAATTATATGTGATGTAATATATGACTATTGATTTTTATAACTCAAGCTGAATTTTTGTCAAATTACATCACCTAATCGACTAAATACAGTTTTGACAAATGACCTTGAAATAAACTTAAATGACCTTACTTTTATTATAAATTTTAAGTCAAAATGACTAAAATCATTTGAAAAATAGTAAATGACCTTATAATTTACCATCACTAACTGAATATTAACCAAAAGGTATTAATTAGTACTGAAAGAATTATTTTGATTAATATTGAATAATATCATAAATGATAGTAAAAATATAAATATAAAAAGAAATGATATAATAAGCATAATATTTAAGATATAATTATATCAAAAATAAAAATAATATATAATGATACCAATCTTTGAAGCTAACAAAATACTTAATAATATTTTTATTTGCCAAATATTATATAATATTTTATAGCACATTATAAATATTTAAATAAATAAATTACAATTAATTTGCTCAATTAAATTTGCTTTTATGTATTATATAAATATCTATATGGATATGACATTAATTAATTATAAATTTTTTTTAAAAATCTATTATTCATTTTTTTAATAAAAAAGGAGTAAGTAATATAATAAAATAATATAGATAATATAATTAATTATATTTTTTTAAAATAAAAACGTAATATATAAATAATAGATGATAATATCTTTGGCTTATTTCTGATGAGTTAGATTATAAGTAATGATTAACTAAAAAAAAATATTTTATATGCAAAATATGATTTTTTTAGGCTGATTAAGTCATTGTTAAATGATCATTATTTCCCAGCAGTCTATTGCAAAAGTCCCATATTATATATAAACTACTGTATATATTAAACAATAATTTTAAATTTATATATAAAATTAATTAACAAAGGAAATATTATTAGCAATTAAAAATAAGTAATATTAAAGCAAAAACTTAATTTTCTTAATTAGTAATCAAATAATAAATAATGAATTGGATAGGTATTTAAATACTTCTTGATAGTAATGCTAATTCTTTAATTCATTGAAAACAACTATCGATCCAAAGCAAATTCAGTTCCTCGAAAAGAGCTTTGCAGAAAATAAAATTAAAAAGTTTGGTATCTAATCGTCTAAATTTTTTTTGATTCCGGACTTCCTAAGTATGAATTTTTAAAGTATGAGTCGTTTTTTTTAGTTGAAATTTTATCTGCTTTTGGTTTGATAGATGCAAAAGTGCTATGCATTATTAGCATTAATGAATTTGGCTTTTGTACCACGATGGTAAAAAATTCTCATTAGTTTTTTTACATTTCACCATAAATTCTTGATACACTATACTTGCTTCAATCAAAACTTACCATTTAAGCAATTATTGTAATCATAACTGGGATTGGTTTTAATTTATGACATTAATATAGTTTGTAAGAAAATTAATTTGTATTAAATTATAAAACATTTCTCCATTTTGATGTAATTAACTTGGACCGCAGTAATTATCAAGTTTGAATTTGTGAAACAAAATGTTTAAAAATTGTGATTTTTTTCGTCATAGGTTATGACGTGAACTGAAAATTGATGATTGTGAAAGCAATTAAAAAATTAAAGGAGCTGAAAATCTTATAACGTTATTGTAACCAGGATACGGACAAACTAGGGTAGATGATATTAAAAAGAGAGAAAGAAAATGATGAAAAACAAAACTTTTTGATATCTTTTATCTTTCTTAAAAGCCTGTGGTTGAGTAAATAAAAAAGGAAAGTTGTCGATGTTATCATAAGGGTTCTACAAAATTATCGTTTTCGTCATGCTCCAAAAATCCAAAACCTGCTGAAAATTAAATTTATATACTTAGGTTCTTGCTACTTATCTTGGTAGGACAAACCATGCTTGGGAGACTTTTATGTAACGGTCTGTTGACAAACCTTTATCTTTCCAAAGGGGTTAGGGTTATTAATTTTTTATTAGGATTGGAATCACTTTGGAATTTCAAAAGCAATCCGAATAGATCCGATAATGATAGAGTTCGGAAATTATTTAGGTGAATGGGTATATTGGAAGGAAGGTATTGACGCGTTAAATTTGTAATTTTAGATTTTAGTTTCTTATTTAAATAGGTCACATTAAAACACAAAAGAGTGAAACAAACAAAGAATTCCTTCATTAGTAACAAGAAACCACAGAAACGTGATTTGTGATTTAAATCGACCAATCGAACTCTCTTCTTCTAATCCAAGTAAGTTCAACAATGCAGATCCTTCCCCACGATAATTTACCAATTACATGTTTTTTTTTTTTTTGAAACATACTACACAATACACTACATAAATTAATGATCTTTAAAGAATTGTAACTAAAATTTTTCATATGAGAATATTTTTTTTTTCAAATTTGGTTAGTTCAATCTTCTTTATGTTTATCCATTGGAAAATGAAAATTGTTCAATTATGACGCTGTGTTATAAATAATGAGTCAAATGACCAATTATTTTGTATAACAACATCTTTGATCATTACTCCGAATTACTAAATTCAAAAATTTGAGTAAAATGATAAGATGCCTATCTTATCGTCTTTATGTCCTAACTGATATTTCCGCGATATACACCGAACTTAACTTCAAAAGGTATCAAATTATGAAATAAAAAAAATTCAAATTTGGAAGAAATACGTTTATATTCGTATTACATTCATCCTTATAAACAAATTATCATTGTTCTTTAATTAGATCGACAATATAACTTTCTCAGGAACTCAAACCGCCACGGAATGAATATATTATATATAGTATAGCCACACTCCTAAATTTGTGGAAATCGTCATATTTTCACTAACACTAGCAAATAAATTTGGTCAATATAGGATCAAATTTGCATAAATGAACTTAATGAACTTTACTCAATATTCCTTATTTGACTTCATTATGCATGTAACTTGTAATATCAGTTACTTAAAATATCAATTTAATATTAGAATTAAAGTTTCTTCTTATATATAATATAAATAAATAAATTAAATACCTCGTCTCAGAAAAAAAAAAAAATATAAATAAAAATAATATTTCGATAAAAAAAAAATAAAAAAAAAAATATTATTTTGACGTTCTTTTCTTTCTCATATTATAGAATTTAATACTACTGGTTTAAGCCGTAATTGTTTTTCTTTTTAAAAACCAAAATACATAAAAGCGACGTAAAAAAAAAAGAAAGAAATGTCTTCAACCTCACTTTCTAGATCCGATTCGGGCTCGTCAAAATATTCGACACCACCACAAACACCTTCGACGACACCGCCTCCATTCATAATGTGTACCGATTTTTTACCAAATCTTTCAAAAGATTTATCAATATTACTTTCTGATAACGAAGATTACAACATGATTATTAACGTTGGAGAGCAACCAAATATCAAACAATTTAAAGTACATTCTATAATACTTCGGGTACGCTCACCATATTTTAGGGTAGCATTATCATCGGAATGGGCTAAAATCGAAAATAATTATATTACCTTTAATAAACCAAATATTAGTCCAAAGGTTTTTGAAGTGATACTTAAATATATCTATACGGGGACGATAATATTGGATGAAGACATTAACACGAATACTTCAACCATTTTAGAGCTAATGATCGCAGCTGACGAATTATGTTTACAAGAAATCATCGATTACGCGCAAAGTTATCTCTTGCTTTATAAACCTGGATGGATACAACGTAATTTTGCCACTACGTATAAAATAGCAACTGTATACAACTCCTTTAATAAACTGTTGGAACATTGTAATGAAATAATCGTGAATGATCCCGAATTGGTACTTTCTTCGGATGATTTCTGTTTATTGGAAGAAAATGCTTTGTTAACATTGTTAAAACGAGATGATCTATTAATAGATGAAGTAAACCTTTGGGATTATCTAATCAATTGGGGTATTACTTCCACCGGGTTAACAAGAAATTGGTCTGAATGGACAAGCAAGGCTTATGAAATATTGTCTGAAAAAGTTGAAAGATGTTTGCCTTCAATTAGATTTCTACACATTTCAAGTGGTGATTTTTATAAAAGAATTAAACCGTTTGCACCAATTATACCAGTAGAATTATATGAGGATATCCTTCAATATCATCTCGTGCCGGAACATCAACCTTCTGAAATTTTAATTCAACCAAAAAGGGTGACGATTGATTCCGTTATTATTGAAAGAAAACATGCCGCTTTAATCGCGAATTGGATCGATGGCAAGGATTGTGAAAAAGAAAAAGAAAACTGTTTAAATAATCCTTATGAATTTAAACTACTCCTTAGAGGTAGCAGAGATGGATTTACTGGTTCCGAATTTCATCAAAAATGTAACTCAAAATGTGCTACCGTTACTATAATGAAAATTTCTAATACTGGTGAATTGATAGGTGGATTCACACCTATTAGTTGGTTATCTCAAAATTCTTGGGGTTATACTAATGAAAGTTTTATTTTTTCTTTGAGGGAGAACAGTGTCGTTAGTAGAGTGAAGGATCCTTCTAGGGCGATCAATCATTATAAGAATTATGGTCCTTCTTTTGGTGGTAATGATTTAAAGATGGCTGGTAATTTTAAAATTGACACTAAATGTCATTGTAGGCAAGAAGATTATGAATATCCCATTAGGAATGACACTGATAGTTTTAACATTGATGAATACGAAGTATTTCAAATTATTCCGAGGCGGCCAGATTTAATGAACTTGTAATATTACATATATCTTACCTCATTACAGAATAATAATAATAATAATAATAATAATAATATAATAAATAATAATAATATTGGGTTAGAATAGTAGAAATTATATAATAAAAGTAACGTAATAAAATAGCATCGTTGAAATGTTTTTTTTTTGTCACGTATACTAAAAAATTTAATAAATGAAGTAATTGAAATAGATATTACAACGCATTAAGTCACTTAAAAGGATTTATATTCACGATCTTTTTCAGATATCCGATCCAAGTGATAACTTTCTATAGAAAGTAAAATAAGTAAAAGCGAAATTTCAGAAAATTCATGGCTATTGGGAGTTGATAAAAAATATCCGTTATTAAATAATATTTCATGTTGACTAAAAAAGTTTTAACTTATTAAGGGATATTTTAAATAAATAAATAAATATCAATATTAGTCTATTATTTTAAAATTGATCTTTAAATTGAGGTTCAATGTTTTGGAATAATCCAAGATCAACCAAATTCATGAAGCTGAAAATACTTTATTCTAACAATATATTATATAAATTATTTGACAGTTTTTGTATTAGTGATTTAGGATTTTTGTCAACAGAAAAAGAACAAGAAATCTATGAAGTATTGCCTTATGTACTCAATATAAAGAAAAATATATATAAGCAGATATTTACTTTTTTGGTATTTTAATAAATGAATATTTATCTAAGAAAATTCCTTTTAGTATTGCTTCTTATAATGTTCATTTTACAATAGATATTTGTATAGAATTATACTAAAATATCTAATTATACTCCAATATTTCTTATAAATATAATTATGAAATGTTGGAATATTTATATAAAAGATATTAAAGAATTACTTAAGATGTTTACAGAATAGGTAAAATAGGAGGTGATAATGAAATTTATTCAAATAAACAAATCAAAATTATAAATTCCTGATACTACTTAAAGAAATTTAAACTATATATAATAATAGATTTCTTAATTATGATAATCTTTCTAATACATTATTTCTTTTAATTTAATCATAAACATATATTAATTATTTATTTTATTACATATATATAAATCATTTTCATTAATATAAGTGAATTAAAATTATATATATTAGTTTAATTAAAAATAATAAATTATATACTAACTTAAATATTTTTTTAAAAATAATTTAAATAATTTAAATATTTAATTAAATGATTCTAATAATAATAAATTAAATTATTTTAAGAAAATTTTGTTAATTAATTAATAATATAATTATATAAAAACATTAAATTATAAGTTTTAGCTAATTTTATCTGTTTATTTATTATAAATTTTCTTTTGATTATTTTATAAAAATTAATTTTTATAAAATAAACTTATAATTATAAACTATATAAATAAAAAATATTTATTCATTTTTAAATATAATTATTGAAATATAAGTATTTTGTAGTAGAAATTAAAAGAAATTATATTTTTATTTTATAAGCTAAATATAATTTTTAATAAAATAAGTTGAGATTTAATATTAGCTTAAAAAAATTTTTTAGAATTTCATAACTTTCTATTGTAAAGCTATTATATTAATTTTACTTGAAAGAAATATAATATATGAAAATATCAAAAAAGTAATTTTAATAATAAATAAAAATTTGCTATGTTGATTTCATAAAATAAATTTAATTTTAAATGATTCAAATTATTTATAATTAGCTAATACAGTTAAACTTGTCTACAATCATCACTTTTGTTATATGCAATAAACTTTTAATATAACAAATTTTAGGATCTGAATATCAACTTCATTATAAGCTTATAACGAATTTTTTAAAGAATTTAATTGGCTAATTCACTATAGGAAGGTAATTTTAATATATTTGATTTAAAAATTCGCTATATCAAGGTTTGACTATAGTAATTGTTAAAAATATATATTTATAAAAAGGTTTTACTATATTATATAAAATATTTTTTTTATTAATTTAATTTTAAAATAACTAAGATTATAAAAAGGTTTTTATATATAATATAATTATAAACAAAATGATTATAAATAGATCTAACTGTATTTATTAATCTTTATTTTTTTATTTTTAATATACAGTTCAATTTTTAATAGAATGAACTCTAAAATCTGAAACTTAACTTTATTATAAAATTATTATTAATAATGCTATTCAAAACCTATTTTAACATGTAGCTTAAAAATTCTGAAACTATTTCAAAATCTTTAAAATGCCTTTTTTTAAATTTGAAACTTGATGAAATTTAATTGAATTTAGAAAAACCTATTAAAAGTTTAGGTAAAGAAATTTATTATAAACAAATAGTTTTATCTTAAATATCTTAAAATCAAATTTTTTAAAAATAGTTTAAGAAGGTATCTTTAATTATAATAAATTTATTTTAAAAAATTTAATTAGTTATTTTATTATAATAAAATATATGTTAATATATTTGATTATTTAAATATTAAAATTTAACTGTATCATTTTTTATTACCAAATATTTATTTAATAAATTACTATATTAGGTTATATGTTTAATTATAAAATTTAAATTATAATAATTTTTTTATTTATTTTTTTTTAAAAAAATTTTTATAATAAAAAAATATATATTTTTTATATATTTTTTTTAATATTTTTATAAATAAATTTGTTTTTAATTTTAAAATTTAATAATTAATTATAATAAATAACTTCTAATTTTTATTTATATATTATTATAAATTTGTTATTAAATTTAAGATTTTCTATATTAAATTATAAAACTATTTATATTTAAAGTTAATTTAAATATTTTATCAAATAAATTACTTTTGAATATCAAAATAAGGTTATTTAATTAATTAACATTTATTTAAATCTAAATTTTTATTAAAGTTAAATTTATACTTATTAAATTATATTTTTATAGCTAATTTCATAATTTATAGATCATTAATAAATTGAAACTGAATATAACTAAAAATATTTTATAATAAAATATTTTAACTATTTTTATAATTTTTGAACTATTAATAATTTTTTAATAATATTTAATTACTTTCAATCATAGTATTTTATAATAATTTTATAATAAAATATTTTCAGTTACATTTAGTCACATTTAGTATCAATTTTATCAATTTATTAGTGATCTAAGAATTATGAAATTAGCTGTAATAAAATATTATGACTAAATTAAATTAATTCTAACTGAAAATTACAAATTAACTATAACTTATAAATTATTATTTTTTTGTTTAATAATTTTAGTGAATAATATAATTATTTTGATAAAAGTAATTTATTTTTTGTAATCTAAGTTAAATAATCCCTATAAGAAATCGAAATAAGGAAATGATACGTTTTTTATAAGGTTTGTATACGTAATTAATGATTCTATATCA